GCTGGGCAAGCAGACCCTGTTTCCAAACTGAGCAGGCTACCCCCTGCGCGGTGCTGGGCAGCGGTGGGCTCCCCTCCAACCCTGGAGCAGCCCCCTCCCGGACCGCGGCGGCCCTTGCCATCCTTTCCTTTGGCTGAGAAGTTGGCTCAGGTCTCTGCCATTTCCAGCATCCCTCCTGGTCCCAAGGTGCTGCCTGTAAGGTGTCCAGTGCGTGACAAGTCTTCCCAGGCAGACAAATCAATTAATTCACAGGCTTTTATTGCGGTTCCGCTCCCGGGCGAGGTTCCCCGGTCCCAACAGAGCAACAGAGCAGAGGCCAGGGAAGTCGCGCGTCAGAGATTGGGAGGGCTCCTTTTATAGATTCAGGGCAGGGGGGTTAAAGGTTGAGGCGGGTCTGATCCTCATTGGTTGACCTTTAGGCACCTGCAGGGACCTTGACAAGGACTTTCTTCCCCGGAAGTAGGCCTCTCCACTCCCGGAAGTGTAGGCCTTCCCTCCTTGCGGATCCCAAAGCTATCACTGCCCACCTGGTGTCGTGTCCACCACCTGCCCTGCCGCCTCTCTCCATGGAGTGGCTGCTCCCAGGGGTCCCTTGGGGCCTTGGGCCCGCCAACCGACTGGTGCAGTGGGCCAGGGGCTTCAGGAGGAAGTTTGAGCAGATCCATCTTCTTCCGTCTTCCTTTACTTCCTTCAGTGTTTCATTACAAAAAATTCAAATTTCAAACATTTTCCAAAGTCAAGAATATAATGAACCCCGTGGACCCCTAACCCAATCTCATTTCATCCATAGGCTCCCCACGCCCCCCCAACATGGGATTGTATGGAAACACACCATTCTGTAAACACTTCCTGACGGATCTCTGAAAGATAAGGAGTTTAAAAAAGCATAACCACAGTGTCACAGACCAAGACAGCAACAACCATTGTGCAACAGCAGCAAGCGCCCGGGCTCCGTGATTTGTGTGATCTCCTCCCGTGAATGGCTCTCATCTGGGCAGGGTCAGCCCGTGCCCGGCACGTGGTCAGGTCTGCTGGCTAAGTGCTAGTGAACGCAGTAGGTCTGCAATCCATCATATTTCAGCTGGGTCTCTTTTCTGATTGATTTATTTATTTGAAAGAGTTACATAGAAAGAGAAGGAGAGAGAGAGAGGTCTTGCATCTGCTGGTTCATTCCCCAATTGGCTGCAATGGCTAGAGCTGCGCCGAACTGAAGCCAGGAGCCAGGAGCTTCTTCTTGGTTTCCTATGTGGGTGCAGGGGCCAAAGCACCTGGGCCATCTTCCACTGCTTTCCCCGGCCACAGCAGAGAGCTGGATCAGAAGTAGAGAAGCTGGGTCTCGAACTGGCACCTACATGGGATGCTGGCACAGCAGGTGGCGGCTTTACCCGCCATGCCACAGCACCGGCCCTTCAGTTGGCTCTTAAAAAATTTTATTCATGTATTTGAAAGAGTTAGAGAGAGAGAGACTGAGAGCGATCCTCCATCCACTGGTTCACTCCCCCAAATGGTCGTGATGGCAGGGACTGGGCCAGGCTAAAGCTAGAAACCAGGAACTTCTTCCAGATCTCCTGCATGAGTGCAGGGCCAAGTGCTTGGGCCATCTTCCACTGCTTTCCAAGGTGCATCACAGGGAGCTGGATCGGAAGTGGAGTAGCCAGGACTCGAACTGGCATGCAAATGGGATGTCAGTCACAGGTGGCGCCTTTACCCACTGTGCCACAGCGCTGGCCCCTCATTTGCTTTCCTTGGGAGAGTTAGGAAGTGCCTACTATGCACCATGCATCTCTGTATCCCTGTGCCAATCCTCATCACCATCATCTCAGCTAGTACGATCATCAGTTATCTCCATAGAAGAGAAAACCGAGGCTCAAGTACGTAAGCTGATGGGCCAGATCTCATAGCTTCTAAGTCATGCAACTCTGCTACCCCTGCCGCCCTCCCTGCCCCAGTGAGCAACCAGCTGGGCCACTGGTCCTGACCGTGAAGTCCTAGAACACAGCTGGAATAGACCAAGTCAGCTTCTGATTGCCAGCAGCAGGAACTGGGGCCTTTCACTCTTCCTACTCACGTCCTGGGAGGACCACCCCCTCGGCATCCCCTCGTCTACCCCATCCCGGGGGAGTCCTCTGGGTCCAGGCCCCAGCGGCTGAGCAAGCCTCGGGCAGGTACTTCAAAGCTTTTAACTGGGCCTTGCCAATGCATCATCAGGCAGGGAGAAAGCAAACCAATGAAAGTCACATTCTCACATGCGATCCACACACGGCGGCACGGGCAGCAGGCGCTGGCGGCTGCCTGCCCACTGCGCTCAGGTTTGGGGCCACATTATCTGTTTCCTCCTCCAGCTTCCCTCTCCTCTCTCTCCAAGGCCTGCGGTTGTTCGGGAAGAATTGTCCCTTTGTGTTCTCTTTCCTTTCTTCCTGTGCCTAATTAGGAATGAGGCTTGGGAACGAAGCTAATGAACCCCTGCCAGTTCGGGTGGAGACCAAGCTCCTCGCCCTATCAGTGTTGATCAATAACTCACTGCTGAAAGAACCTGAAAAACAATCCTGCCCGATCTAATGAGGGGGAGGCAGGGTGGCCTGGGCGAGGCCCGGGACGAGTGAGTGGCACCGGGAACCGCAGCCATTGCCTTCCTGGTGTGTGGCAGCCCCCAGGAGGTACGGCTTTCTCACGCCCACGGCCCTGGTTCCTAGCCCACTCCTCTGAACCGCAAGGATGCTCACCGAGAGTACCCAGAAGGTGCAGGGAAGCCATGCTGGCAAGATGGCTATGCTGTGTTTGGGACAAGGTGATCCCTCCCACCGGCAGAGCAGAGGCCATTGTCACAGGCCTGCTCACGACACAGGGCTACCCCCTCGGCTCAACAAGCTTCAACTGTCCTAGAGGCCTAGGCAGCCTCTGTCCTCAGAGACACAGAGGTGCTCTTGGCTCCAGAGAGGATACAGTTGTTTTCCTGGGAGATTACCAAGCAAAAGCACTAAAAACAGGGGTACCTGGAAGAGAACTGCAGGAGCGCCCCAAAGCCCAGCCTTGGTCACACCGAAACCCTCGTGCCTTTGATGTCGGCTGTATCAGACCTCGGTATCTCTCCCGGGGCTGGCAGTTCCTCTGTCTTCTCTTTGATGATTACAAGTGAGCTCCTCGTTAAAGATTAACTCAGGGAATGAAGGGAGTGGCACAGGGTAAGGCTGGGGCCAGCGAGACCCCAAGCACCGAGACCCAGAATCCCGTTGCCACCTCTGTAGTTAACATCTCCGAGTCTGATTCCACTGTGGGAATGCCACAGCACCCCTGAGCACCCAACACCTGTGGCGCCATTACCGCAGAGACTCACCGGCCCCCATCCCGGGGCCAATCAAAGGCAGGCCACAAGCACTGGGGACCCGCCAGCAACAGGTCACAGCTGATCATGCAAGTTATAATCATCAAAGGGAAGCCGGAGGAACTGCAAGCTGAGGGGGAGATGCCGGGCACTGCCCCGCCCCTGCTGTAACCTGCCCGACGCCGGCCTTTAGTCCTCAGAGCGCCTGGGAATGGAGCCACAGCTGGTGAGCTCCTTGCTCTGTGCACTGCGAAATAAACTCCTGCTCTGTTCCACCAGGCCCGTGCAGGGACTGCATGCTGGAGCTCCCTCTCGTTTTCTCAACTCTTCCCTGAGACTGCGCTCTCCCCACTTTTTAAACAAACTGTCTTCCCCTACCCTAGAGCAGTAAGCTTCCTCCCTGTGGTACCCTCTTGACTCAAGGCTGCTCAGATCCTTAGGAATGTGATATACTGTTGCAAATGATGTATCATTCTATTCACTGCTTGAGTTTGACTTTCTCCCCTCCCACATGGGAGGGCGATCACCCGTTATCTGTCTTTCTGTACCTGGCCCATTTCACTGAACATCATGTCCGCTGAGATCATCCATGTTGCACAAATGACAGGTTTTCCTTTTAGGTAGGACTGAACACTATTCCAATTGTGCATATCCACCACATTTCCTTTATCCATTTGTCTGTTGACAGGCATGTAGGCGCTCTCCAGATCCTGGCAATTGTGAATGGCGCTGCACTAACATGGGAGTGTACACCTCTCAACATACTCATTCCCTTTCCTTTGGATACAGAGTCCCTAGTAGGATTGATGGAGCTTATGGTAGGTCTATTTTTAACTTTTAAAAAAAGATTTATTTATTTATTTGAGAGACAGAGTTACAGAGAGAGGCAGAGAGAGAGAGAGAGAGGGAGAGAGAGGTCTTCCATCCGCTGGTTCACTCCCCAGATGGTTGCAATGGCTGGAGCTGTGCTGATCCGAAGCCAGGAGCCAGGAGCTTCTTCTGGGTCCCCCATGTAGATGCAGGGGCCCAAGGACTTGGACCATCTTCCACTGCTTTCCTAGGCCACAGCAGAGAGCTGGATTGGAAGTGGAGCAGCCAGGACTAGAACTGGTGCCCATATAGATGCTGGCGCTTCAGGCCAAGGCTTTTAACCCGCTGCGCCACAGAGCTGGCCCTTAGATTTATTTATCTACTTGAAAGGCAGAGTTACTTGGAGAGAGGAGGAGAGGCAGAGAGAGAGAGAGAGAGAGAGAGAGAGAGGTCTTCCATTTGCTGGTTCACTCCCCAAATGGCCGCAATGGCCAGAGCTACATTGATCCAAATCCAGAAGCCAGGAGCTTCTTCCAGGTCTCCCATGCGGGTGCAGGGGCCCAAGGACTTGGGCCATCTTCTACTGCTATCACAGGCCATAGCAGAGAGCTGGATTGGAAGTGGAGCAGCTGGGACTCAAACCGGCGCCCATATGAAATGCCGACAACACAGGTGGCAGCTTTACCCACTACGCCACAGTGCCGGCCCCTATTTTTAACTTTTTGAAGAAAACTTCCATTTCCTTTAATGACTACAAATTTTACATTTCCACCAACAGAGTGAAGTTCCCTTTTCTGCACATCTTTGCTAACATTTACTTTTCTTTTTCTTTTTTTTTTTTTTGCCCATAATCAAAACTTTATTGAAAAACTGACATCAAAATAGGGGGTAACTTGTATACCTTATAAAATCAAACAAAATTACATTATCTTAGTAGATTCACTAGAATCACTGAACTTATGATAAGGCTTTCTGTGAGAACACCAATCCAGGAGGTTGTGTGGGTCACTAGTGTTGCTTTCTTCTAAAGGAACAGCCTTTTGTGAGTCAGGCCTTCCCTCCTGTAGGCTGGCACAAAACTGTAGAACAGCCTACACAAAGAACCACTGTTTGGGCATGGCTGAAAACCGTGGTGATCTTGTAGCAACCTGGGCATTTTACGTCCATAAAATAAGAATTCGGACTTTGAACTAGCCGTTTCTTTTTATGTTTCTTCTTTTCCTCCTCCAAAGAGGGATGGAGTAAATCTCTAGCCAAGGGCATGTCGGCGGTCTGCGAGCCCGGCGCCTCTCACTGGTTCTGGCTACTCCCCTAGTGACAGCACACGAGCGGGAGCTCGGTATCAACTTCCGGGACAGAGGAGACTATTTTTCTTTCTTTCTTAAGAGCCATTCTAGGAAGAAGCTCCTAGCTCCCGGCTCCTGGCTTTGGATCGGTGCAGCTCCAGCTGTTGTAGCCAATTGGGGAGTGAACCAGTGGATGGAAGATGTCTCTGTCTCTCCTCTCTGCATGTAACTCTGACTTCCAAATAAATAAATCTTTAAAATAAAAAAGAGCCAGGGCTGGCGCCATGGTGCAGTAGGTTAATCCTTTGCCTGGGGGGCCGGCATCCCATATGGGCGCCAGTTCTAGTCCCGGCAGCTCCTCTGCCAGTCCAGCTCTCTGCTATGGCCTGGGAAAGCAGTAGAAGATGGCCCAAGTCTTTGGGCCCCTGCACCCACATGGGAGAAAAGGAAGAAGCTCCTGGCTCCTGGCTTCGGATCGACACAGTTCCGGCCGTTGCAGCCATTTGGGAGTAACTAGCGGACGGAAGACCTTTCTCTCTGTCTCCCCCTCTCACTGTCTGTAACTCTACCTCTTAAATAGATAGATAGATAGATAAATAAATAAATAAATAAATATTTTAAAAAATAAAAAAAGAGGCCAGTTCCACGGCTCACTAGGCTAATCCTCCGCCTGCGGCGCCGGCACACCGGGTTCTAGTCCTGGTCGGGGCGCCGGATTCTGTCCCGGTTGCCCCTCTTCCAGTCCAGCTCCCTGCTGTGGCCCGGGAGTGCAGTGGAGGATGGCCCAAGTGCTTGGGCCCTGCACCCCATGGGAGACCAGGAGGAAGCACCTGGCTCCTGGCTTCGGATAGGAGCAGCGTGCTGGCCATAGCGGCCATTTGGGGGGTGAACCAACGGAAGGAAGACCTTTCTCTCTCTCTCACTAACTCTGCCTGTCAAAAAAAAAAAAAAAAAAAAAAAAAAAAAGCCATTCTAACAGGTATGAGGTGATACCTCACTATGATTTGAATTTATATTTTCCTGATGATTAGTGATGTAGAACATATTTTCATATACCGGTTGGTCATTTTGCAAAGTTATTTGTTCAGATCCTTTGCCCATTATTTTTAAGATTTTATTTATTTTATTTGAGAGGTAGAGTTACAGACAGTGAAAGGGAGAGAGAGAGAGAGAGATCTTCCTTCTGTTGGTTCACTCCACAGTTGGCCGAAATGGTTGGAGCTGGGCTGATCCAAAGCCAGGAGCCAGGAGCTTCCTCTGGGTCTCCCACATGGGTGCAGAGGCCCAAGGACTTGGGGCCATCTTCCACTGTTTTCCCAGGCCAAAATAGAGAGCTGGATTGGAAGTGGAGCAGCCGGGACTAGAACTGGCGCCCAAATGGGATGCCGGCACCGCAGGCAGAGGATTAACCTACTGCACCAGGGTGCCGGCCACATCCATTATTATTATTATTATTTTTTTTAAGATTAATTTTTTTGAAAGACAGAGAGAGAAGTCTTTCATCTGCTGGTTCATTCCCCAAATGGCTGCACCAGCTGGAGCTGGGCTGATCCAAAGCCAGGAGCCAGGAGCTTCTTTCTGGACTTCCATGTGGGTGCAGGGGCCCAAGCACTTGGGTCATCTTCTACTACTTTCCCAGGCCATAGCAGAGAGCTGGGTTGAAGTGGAGCAGCTGGGACTCGAACTGGTGCCTGTATGGGATGCCGGCACTGCAGGTGGCTGCTTTACAGCAGCAGCCCCCCTTTTGCCCATTTTTAAAACTGGGTTGTTTGTTTTCTTGCTATTGAGTTCCTTATGTATTTTGGATATTAACTCCTTATGAGATGTACAGTTAGCAAACTCTCCTATTCTATAGCTGTCTCTTCACTGCTGGTTACTGAGCTGTGCCCACACTTTCCAGTTTTAAAGAATCCCACTTGTCTATTTTTGCTTTTGTTGGCTGTATTTTTTGGGGTCATACAAAACAAAACAAAACAAAAAAAACACTGCCTAGACCAATGTGAAGATTTCCTCATGCTTTTTTCCAGTACTTTGTTTCAGTTATTACATCAGGTCTTCAATCCATTTTTTAAAAAATATTTATTCATTCATTTAAAGGCGGAGTTAGAGAGAGAGAGGCAGAGGCAGAGGCAGAGAGAGATATATAGAGAGAGGTTTTCCATCCACTGGTTCACTCCCCAGATGGCCGGAACATCCAAGGCTGGGCATACCCAAGAAAGGAGCCACGAGCTTCCTTTGGGTCTCCTACGTGGGCACAGGGGCCCAAGCACTTGGGCCATCTTCCACTGCTTTCTCAGGTGTGTTAGCAGGGAGTTGGATTGAAGTGGAGCAGCCAGGACTCAATGGGCACTCATATGGAAGGCCAGCGCTGTAGGCAATGGCTTTATCCGCTAGGCCACAGTGCTGGCCCCCTTCAATCCATTTAAAAATAACTTTGGTATATGCATGTGGATATTTAATATACCCAGTGCCGCTTATTGAACACTATCTTTTCCCCATTGTATGATCTTGGCATTTTTGTTAAAAACCAATTGACTGTAAATGAGTGGATTTATTTCCAGGCCTTCTACTCTATCCCATTGGCATACGTGTCTGTTTTTATGCCAATACCATGCTTTGTAGTATATTTTGAAGTCAGGTAGTGTGATGCCTCCAGCTTTTATCTTTCTGCTTGAGGCTGTTTTGGCTACTTTGGTCTCTCACGGTTCCTTAGGATTTTTTTGTTCTTTGAATTTTGACAGAGATTGCGTTGGATATGCAGATCACTTTGGGCAGTATGGACATTTTAATGATATTAATACATCAATCTAGGAACACAGGTTATCATCCCATTTGTGCGTTCTTGTTTCTTTCAGTGCTTTATAGTTTTCACCGTTTAGGTCTTTTCACCGCCATGATTTAATTTATTCTGAGGTATTTTATTTTTTATAGCTACTGTGAGTGGGAATGTTCTCATTTTTCAGATGTTTTATTCTTACTGTAAAGAAATGCTGGGGCCAGTGGTGTAGTAGGTTAAACATTCGCCTGTGGTGCTGGCATTCCATATAAGAGCCAGTTTGAGTCCCAGATGCTCCACTTTCTATCCAGCTCCCTGCTGATGGCCTGGAAAGGCAGTGGAGGATGGCCCAAGTGTTTGTGCCCCTTCATCCACATGGAAGATCCAGAGGAAGCTCCTGGCTCCTGGCTTTGGATCGGCACAGCTCCAGCCATTGCAGCCATTTGGGGAGTGAACCAGCAGATGAAGACCTCTCTTTCTCTCTTCCTCCCCCTTTCTCTGTCTGTAACTATGCCTCTCAAATAAATAATCTTTTAAAAACAATAAAAAGGGCTACTGATTTTTGTGTGCTGCTTTTGTATCTTGAAACTTTACTGTATTTTTTTTAACAGTGTAAACTTTTAAAATTTTTTATTTGAAAGGCATAGAGTGAGAATGACATAAATATCTTCCAACTGCTGGTTTACTCCTGCAAATACCTGCAACAGCCAGGAAAAGGCCAGGATGAAGCCAGGAGCCTGGAACCCAATCTAGGTCTATGTGGGTGGCAAGGACCCAAGTACTTAGCCCATCACAGAAGCTGGAGTAAGAAGCAGAGCTGTGACTCAAACCCAGGAACGCTGACATGGGAAGCAGGTGTTCCAAGCAGTATCTTTTTTTTTTTTTTTTTTTTTGACAGGCAGAGTGGACAGTGAGAGAGAGAGAGAGAGAGAGAGAGAGAGAGAAAGGTCTTCCTTTGCCATTGGTTCACCCTCCAATGGCCGCCGCGGCCGGCGCGCTGTGGCCAGCGCACCGCGCTGATCCGATGGCAGGAGCCAGGTGCTTCTCCTGGTCTCCCATGGGGTGCAGGGCCCAAGCACCTGGGCCATCCTCCACTGCACTCCCTGGCGACAGCAGAGAGCTGGCCTGGAAGAGGGGCAACCGGGACAGAATCCGGCGCCCCGACCGGGACTAGAACCCGGTGTGCCGGCGCCGCTAGGCGGAGGATTAGCCTAGTGAGCCGCGGCGCTGGCGCAGTATCTTAACCACTACACCAAATGCCCACTCCTCTTTTTGGTGGCATCTTCAGCATTTTCTATATATAAAAGTCACGTTGTCTGCAAACAGGGTCAATTTAGGTTGTTTCAGGCTGGTTGCCTTTTTTTCCCCCTTTTCTTTCTGGAAGGGGCTTTCAGTGCTATGTTAAACAGAAATGGCAAAAATGGGCATCCTTAACTTATTCCCGAGCTGAGGGAAAGTTTCCAGCTTTTCATTGCTGAGTATGATGTTAGCTGTGGGTCTGTCATGTGCTCGTTACAGTACTACACCTTCTACCCCTGATTTGCTGAGATCAAGTGTATTAAAATGAACTCAAGTTCCACATTAAATAGTAACATACTTTTGCTATAACAATTTTGTGATTTTTCTGATTTTCTTTAAAATTACTTTTGCAACTCTTTATCTTTTGGCACTTTAATTTTTTTTAGGTTGCAAACTTTTGCACATGCTTTGAAAAACTAGGAGGATCTTGGGGCCGGTGGTGTGGTGTAGTGGATAAAACTGCTGCCTACAGTGCCGGCATCCCATATAGGTGCTGGTTCGAGACAAGGCTCCCCCACTTCTGATCCAACTCTCTGCTAACGCGCCTGGGAGAGCAGCAGAAGATAGCCCAAGTGCTTGGGCCCTCGCACCCATGTGGGAGACCCAGAAGAACCCTCTGCCTGCCTCTCTGTAACTCTTTCAAATAAATAATATAAAAAAAAAAAAAAGAAAAAAAGAAAAGCTAGGAGCTCTGTCCATTGGGCTTAGCACTTCCAAGGGAGAAAGACTCAGAGCTCCTGGAAGACTGTAGCTGGGGACCCTATCTAGTGGAGCCCTGGCTTCCATGAGCGAGAAAGGCAATTTGGGAAGCAGGCAGCAGTGGCACCCAGTATCACTTTGGAGAGACTGGAGGTCTACATCTTTTTCAGGTTTTTTTTTTTTTTTTGGACAGGCAGAGTGGACAGTGAGAGAGACAGACAGAAAGGTCTTCCTTTTTTCTGTTGGTCCCCCCCCCCCCCCAATGGCTGCTGCGGACGGCGCACTGTGGCCAGCACACCACGCTGATCCGAAG